TGCCGAACTTAGGCGCACTTACCCTACATATATTAATTAATAATGCATACCAATCCAATGACGTTTCGAATGCCATTTTTTAACAATTGTCGTCTTCGTTGCAGCACACACCACATAGAAGTAAACAAATTATATTACTATCTCGATACTCTTGGAATGAATAATAAGATGCATTTCACAATTCTTTTCGGTTACATTTGATCAATTATTGAGCGTAAATATAATAACGCACGAAATTATTCATTATCCAAAAACAAAACCGATATTAAGAAAAAAACAAAACTGAAATGTACTCAAAACTCATTGCGAACGTTTCCCTGTATATTCATTTTTGAAAGACAACACTAAATGTACCAATCATCATTCAGCACAGGAAATGTTTGGAAACGTTTCCTAGCGATTCGTTCGCAAACGTACAACTCGGCAAATCACAGTCGAAGTACATTGAGGCAATCGTGCTGTGTGTGTGGTATTGACATGTTTGTAACTCATGTAACTCGGGAATTCCATTTGAAATTCGTAACAAATCAATTTAAAATCGAGAACTCAACCAGGTCCGATATGTCTTATATTTTCTATTGAAAGTCTGTATTGAATGAAACATTAGGGGTGATATTGGATTATCAATAATAATTTTTACACATTGATTTCTAAATTCTGGAATATTCCCCCATTGGCTTAACTTCATATTACTCTCAATTGACGAGAGCAATGGTTTTCAAAACTAAACTGACAGCTTAGCAATATTAGCTGTTAGCTACCAATATCATGATTTCATCCCGGTGTAGGGAATGGTTACTTGGCTTTTTCAGCTTTCTGATATGATGACTTTGGTGAAAAGCAAACTCTATAAGTTTCGAGTATTCACAAGTGAATGGAAATTACACCCACTTTTACAAATTATTATGAAATGTTGTTCAGTTACCACTAAATACAATTTTAACATTTGTGTTGCTAAGAGTTTTTCAAATTCTTTCTGGGGAATTTTTTTCTGTAAGAATCATCAGCTGATTTAAAATCAATAGTCTTGTGTCCGATGTGGAAAGGTTTAATATTTTAAGGAGATAATATAGTTATTTTAATTGTCTTGCAAATAAGCACGTCACAATCTGGGCTGAGTGCAACAAGAGAGACAATGCAAGCGGTTGAAGGTAGACATTACCATTCAAAATGGACATGTACTTCTTATAATAATACAAATAGTTGTATTATGTTAATGCAATTATAAACTTTTCAATAGTTGTTGCTTTAATGACTGGCCACTAACCTATTGAAATTGGCGGAGACCAAGAGAAGATGGGCAGACAACTAGAAGTTGCCATCTCAACGTTCATTACAACAAAAGCCATTAACCCGTCTTCTCACGGCAGCGCTACAACAGGTGTATGCATTGGAAGCAATGTAGTTGTTTTGGGCAAAATACCCATCGCTACTAGGTTTTGCTAGTGGAACTTGAATCGAACTTGGATGGTTTGTGGTGTGTAATGTTTAATCGTAAGAACGCCGAAATAAATACTACTTCCCAATCCAACGGCAAAATGCATCGCATAGTCGCGAGCATGGTATATCTACTAGGTAGTCGCATCACCCCAGCTGACCGCACCTTTAAATGTCAAAACAAGTTGTTGTAATACTGAATTCGCCCTAAATGAATGCAACACAAAAAACAAGGTAGATGTACTAGGTGATCGCATCAGCCCAGCTGACGGCACCATTAAATGTCAAAACAAATTGTTGTAATGAAGAATTCGCCCTGAATGAATGCAACAACAAATTTGTTTATGTTGTCTTCCCTAAAAGTACTTTTTTATAATATTTCAAATAATTTAAGAGCAAGTTTAGAGTGAAACCAGTAAACAAATTAAAAGAAAATGAAAGAAGGAGGTTAGAATGGAGTGCAGCTTTAAGAATTAAGTTAGCCTCAACATCTAAGATCACGTGCAAGAATTCTTGGTTTAAAAAATATCGGAATACTACAATAATACTTATTTTACTCTTACTTGTTTTACAATAAAAACTTTTATTGCGACGTTCGTTTACGACGAGAGGCACACAAAATAAAATGTAAACAAACACCTCGTTTCTGATTGGTTGAAACAAATTTGCCGCAACCTTTAAATGACATGGCAAAGCTATATTTTTCGCCTTAGATGCCAATTTTGACATTTGAGGGTACCACAAAAGTTGCTTTATTGTAGCAATTCGCCGATGCGGTTACCTGTTAGATCTACCTTGCAAAAAAGTTTGTTTATGTGTTCTTCACTAAAAGTATATTTTTCTAATATTTCAAAATAAAAAGAAAATTAAAAAAGTGTTCCATTTGCAATAAAAAATACCGTAATGGAAATTTAACACTATTTAGTGTTCCTAAAGATGAAGGAAGGAGGTTGGAATGGAATGCAGCTTGTGGAATTAAGTTATCCCCAACGCTTGCAGCATTCGTGGGTCCATGCAAGCACTATACGGCCTGACTCTGTTGTATAGCCATTTTACTTTGCTGCTCCAGCTTTTCACAAACTTCCACTAGCTCCTCCAGCCTTCTTTGGTCTGAAAAAACTCTTTGTATGGTTTGGGGAATTTGCATCGGCTCTGCTACCAAGAGGGGTTTGGTATCCACCAAGTGGCTACTAGCTTCATTGCTGGGCATTATTAAAGGGCTTTTACTGGTGGCGATATTGGTGCTTTGTTCATTATTTAAAACCATTTGATCGGGAGCACTTGCTACTGTTGTACCATTAGTGGTATTTGTCGACGAAGTAGAAGATGTTACAGTTGTGGACTCGTAAAAACATTTCGGGGGATAACTATCAACTTGTGGCTGTTGCAATGGTACCAGAGATTCGTATAATTACTTGGCTTAGTTTCCACACACAACGTAAAATGTAAACAAACACCTCGTTTCTGATTGGTTGAAACAAATTTGCCGCAAACTTTCAATGTCATGGCGAATGTATATTTTTCGCCTTAGATGCCAATTTTGATATTTGAAGGTACCACAAAAGTTGCTTTGTTGTAGCAATTCGCCGATGCGGTTACCTGCTAGATCTACCTTGGTCGCCAGTGTGTAATAGTATCTCTCTGTCTCATTAAGCTCATCTCGAGAAAGTAATAAATCATAAACATATGATCTTCACCATAACAATGCAGAACTCAAGGAAAAAATAGGTTAACGTTTCCTTTATATGAGCTTCGCAGTAGTACAGAGTAAAATTAACTTTTTAAAAAAAAAAATCAACTGTACGTAAAATTTGAAATTAATAATATCTTTCTTTCCGGTTGTCAAAAAGTGCAAGGACGACAAATACATTAAAAAATGGCTGAGTTTGATGTAGATGTACCCTCCGCTGCTCAGACGGTTGGTGGCGCCATGGACATTAATCAAACCTTGCAAGAAGTCTTGAAGAAATCCCTCATTGCTGATGGTCTTGTTCACGGTATTCACCAAGCCTGCAAAGCTTTGGATAAACGTTAAGCTGTTTTGTGTATCTTCGCTGAGTCTTTTGACGAACCCAACTACAAGAAGCTCGTTCTTGCCCTCTGTCACGAACATCAAATTCCCTTGATCCGTGTCGATTCCCACAAGGAATTGGGTGAATGGTCCGGTTTGTGCAAAATCGACAAGGAGGGCACGAACATCAAATTCCCTTGATCCGTGTCGATTCCCACAAGGAATTGGGTGAATGGTCCGGTTTGTGCAAAATCGACAAGGAGGGCAAGCCCCGTAAGGTTTGCGGCTATTCCGTTGTGGTCATCAAGGACTTCGGTGAGGAAACCCAAGCTTTGGATGTCGTCAAGGAGCATCTCAGACAAAGTTAAACAGCCTACACACCGTACAGTTTATTTTGTGATGGGGTTCAGTTGATGATAACGATGCTGCTTGTTTTTGTTTTTATCAAAAACACATCAACCAAATCAACATCAATAACAAAAACTACAAAAAAGTATAAAAATAAAAAATAAATCCATTTAGATTTAATAATTTTATTTAGGAAAGAAAAAAAATTATAACAAAATTATTGTGCAAACTATGTAAAGTAGTAAAATAAAGTAACTTAGAATGTTGAGTTCAGATACGATACTTATCGTTGTTTGTCTTTGAGAGTCCACAAAAAGAAGCAAGAGCTTTGAAAACAAATAAGTAATAAAAATAGACAAACCTTAAGTTAAACGGTATTATGTTAGACATATATTTGCAATGTTTAAGATAAATTTACTAAAAACAAAAAAAAAAAAAAAATAAATAAATAAATAAAATATATACAGTCGTTGGAATTAAAAACACATGCATAGACTAGGTGTATAGGATGTATTCCGTCTTTTGCGAAATCAATTCGGAGGGAAGGTACATCTGTTGCATTCATCTGAGTTCGACAAAATTGAGGCCAAACGATTTCGTTGGTGTAGCCTATAGTACCATTTACTAATCTCTTTAAAACGTCGATATTGGACCGTAGCATGATTATAGCACTCATAAATATTTCCAGTTTAAGCGAGATTAAGCGATTGACAGGAAGAGGGTGAAGTTTGAATTACTAAATTTGACTCAAGAATAAAACATTATTATTTATGAATAATTTATGAAAATTATTGGTAAGTTAGCGATGACAGTATAGTAATCTCTAAATGCTGCCCATAGAAACAACACCAAACCAAAATTTTATTTTATTAGGTCCAATTTCGTCGGTTACTATAGTGTCGTATAGTTGGATTACATTGAATACGATACCCCTAAAGTGAACTGTGTACTTTTGTTTTTTGAAATTTTTTAGAAAGTTCAAAGCCCTTTATTGAGATATCTTCTTTTCGTTTAAATACAATCGATTGTTGTTGTATTTTCTTTATTTCTTTTTATGTTTTGTGTGTGTGTGTGTGACATAATTGCAAACAATGATCCCCAGTGGGAAAGTTCTAATTTGATGCTTTGCTGTTATTTTCTTTTTTTCATTCCAATTTCTAACATTTCATTGGTCTACATCTGCTACTCCTACAATTCTAATTCGTTACGGTTTTAATAATTATTTTTATTCATACATAATTTAATACAATATTTAATTAATTTATTTACTAATTTGTTGGTTTTTTGTAATCATTTGGTGAATTTTGAGATGTGCAGCTGCTGCCTTCGGTCGGTAATTTGCTCGAATTGCAATTGAACAAATCTTAGGTCTAGACATTCATTCGTTGGTATCCTTCTGTGGACTTTGTTTATTTCAACATGGCGAGTGGTCTTACAAGAACTCTCGGAAGGGTTCATCGAAATTGTTATCGGCCGTTGAATCACCGTAACCGTTCATTATGATCGCTGCCTGTTGTTGCTGCTGTGGAGGAGGTGGAACAGATGCATTCTGCTGCTGCTGTTGAGGCATCATGATTTGATTGTGATTCGATATCATAATGTGGTGCGACTGGTGGTGCATGTGGCTAAGTGGCTGATTCTGTATCTGTATGGTGGTAGTGGCTGTCGTCAACGATTGAGGAGCACCGGTATTCTGATGGTGCTCCGCCAAAAGAGTACAATTGTAGGTGGCGCCATTGGTAAGTGGCGAATCGTCGTAACAGTTACCATTCAAGGCGATCAAACCATTGGCATTGACGCCGTTGCCAGCATTAAGACCCAAGATATTGACATCCGGATCCACACCATTGTTGACGTTGCCATTTTCGACGGTACCGTTACCATTCATCAGTACACCGTTAAAATCTAATGCAGATTCTTCGTTCCGTTTGGCTAATATGATGTGTGTCAGGTTGATAATGTAGTTCTTAGCCAAGGTGAGTGTTTCTATCTTTGATAGACGACGTTCCATTTCGACATGGGGTATCACCTCACGCAGGGACTGCAAGAAAACAAGACAAGCGAAATATGAATGGGTGTTTGGAGTGAATAACAAGTAAAAAAGCAGTAAGTTCAGCCGGGCCGAACTTTGAATACCTCCACCATTTGGAACGAATTAGGAAATTTTCAAAAAAATGAAATCCATTAAAAATTCTGTTAAAAGCTTTAAAATAATAATATCAGAAGGTGTCGATACATGGGTGGATATACGATATTGTGGACTCACAAAAGACTCTTTGTGTAGAATTCCGTTGAAAAATGTGGCTAAAATCATCAAAATACCGAATATCGGGTGGGTACCGTTATATGGGGGCTATGTGATATCGTGGACCTATATAGATAATTATCTTCCAAGGGATAAAGTACTCACAAGGAACTCATTGTGTGGATTTTCAGATAATTCCATTGGAAAATATGGCTAAAATCATCAAAATCCCGAATATCGGGGGTACCGTTATATGGGGGGTATACGATATCATGGATCTATGTAGACAATTCTCTTTCAGGGAGTAAAGTACTCACAAGGAACTCTTTGTGTAGTATTACAGACAATTCCGCTGAAAAATGTGTCTGAAATCATGAAAATACGGAATATCGTGGGTATCATTATATGGGGGCTATACGATATCGTGGACCGATATAACCCATCTTCGAACTTGACCTGCCTGCAGACAAAAGAGAGATATGTGCAAAATTTTGGCTTCCTGTCTGAATTCGTTTTGACTGTAGCGTGATTACAACAGACAGACGAACAGGGCTAAATCGTCTTAGAATTTTACGCTGATCAAGAATATATGTACTTTGTTGGGTCTAAAATGATTATTTCGATGAGTTACAAACGGAATGACAAACTTAATATACCTTCCATACTATGTATGGTCGAGGGTATTAAAAGACGAAAGTGACGAGTATACTGTACTGTACTTGTACGCATATAACTTAGGATATTCTACACCAGTCTGCATATTTAGCAGAGCTTACAGTGACAGTAAATTCTAAACTACAAATCAGATTAAATATATATGTACATGGCAGCTGTATCCTAATCTAAATCGATCTTAAATAAATCTTATAGACCTATTTCTAGACTGATATCGGCAGCATATTGCCACTTTGACGACGCCAAAATCTTATATTTAAGGAAAAGTGAAATAACTGACTGACTTTTTGTGGGTAGGGGTGTGATATGGCTGGTCTCTCGGGAATTCGAAGTGTACTAAATTTCATACGTTTTGATAATTTTTGAATAGATACAGCTAAAACATGACATGAAAAAGAAACAAAACGACTGAAGTTACATTAGATAACCCAATGAATGAAAATTCCGCTGATTACCATCCAAGAAACACCATCCAAAACTTCTTCGTCAATAATTTGTAACCAGAATCGTGCAGTAGTAACTGAGTTAACCCCGTCCAAAATCTCTTCTACATCAAAATCTGCACCACTTTCAATACCTAGGTCCGAACTAACTCCGTCTGTGTCAAAAAAGTTTTTCTCTCCTCAAATCACGCCAAAGTCAACAAATATAATGAGTACTCCTAATACTCCAAGTCCGCCCAATCTAAAAGTAGTTTTGCCTAAACGTTCAGTATTTGCTCCAAGGTTTGCTGCTACAACGTCTGAGGATGATGTCATATCATATAAATGTCGATGCTGAAATAAAAGTTTTTTAATTCAAATATGCGGAAAAACGAAGTAAAGCTTCTTTCAAAATTCTTGTTCCTGAGGATATTTTTGAAATAATAGTTAAACCATCCTTTTGGCCTGCAAAAGCCGTTATACACGAATATATTTATAGAGAAGTTCCAAAACCAGTTATTGTATATTTACCAACATCTCAATCAAAAAACCAGTAAGGAAAGCTCAAAAGTCGGGCGGAGCCGACTATATGATACCCTACACCACTATGCATATTTAGTAGAGTTCTCGTAAAAAGGTTTATACAGGGCATTTCAGAGCTCTATGAGATATTTGGTACAAAATCAAAATCTATCTAATTCTATCGTGAATTTTACGAACTATAGCTATCTCTGAACCGGGTTTCTCCAAATTTGACGTATTAGCTTCTAGACTGAATTCGGTCTTATGTACGAAAATTCATGCCATTTGGGCTGATATTGGCCATTTGATCCACAATTAACACGAAATCGGATGAAGATATATATGGGAGGCATATCCAAATCGGAACAGATTTTAATAAAATTAAAATCAACTATTTTTGCGCTCTATCTGATATCTGGTACCAAATATCATTCCTGTGGAGTGCATATTACGAATGTGAGGGACTTAAAGATCAAACCGGATGAAAGATATATATGGGAGCTATAGCTATATCTGAACCGATTTTTACTAACCCGAAATCGGATGAAGATATATATGGGAGCTATATCCAAATCTGAACCGATTTCGATAAAATTTAAAACAGCTATTTCTGTGCTCCATCTAATTCCTGGTACCAAATATCACGGTTGTGGAGTGCATAGTAGGAATGTGAGGGACTTAAAGATCAAATCGGATGAAAGATATATATGGGAGCTATAGCTATATCTGAACGGATTTTCTCCAAATTTGATATACTTGCTTCTAGGCCGAACTCGTTTGGGTGTGTCAAAATTCAGGTAATTTGGACTGATAGTGGACATTTGGTACACATTTAACCCGAAATCGGATGAAGATATATATGGGAGCTATATCTAAATTTGATCCGATTCTCACCAATTTCAATAGGGTTCGTCCTTGGGCCAAAAAAAATATTGTTTGGAAAATTTCATCTCAATCGGATAATAAATGCGACCTGCATTTTGTTCACAAGGATACATGGACAGACGGACGGACGGACAGACGGACTGACATGCATAAATCGACTCAGAAAGTGATTCTATGAAGGTTCTCAAAAGTAAGTATGGGTCTATCTCGTTTCCTTCTCCATGTTACAAACAAATGCACAAAGACATAATACCCTTACCACTATGTGGTGTAGGGTATAAAAAGCCGGTAATTCGCCATTTGTGTATTTTGGATTTCGCCTGTAAGTTATTTTCAGCGGGATTTTGTGTCCTTTGGTTTCTATTTGTGACCTTTATATTCGTTATATCATCGTATTTAATTCAAAACTCAATTGTCAGTATTATAAAGGTCTTAGCAATATTTTCCAAATCAAAAGTAGGTTTGAATTCGTAACTTTTAGAAGACCATGTTTGTGCAAAGTCCTATGTCAATTAATCTATATCCGTGTGTGTATGTAGCCGTTCGTTAAAATCGCAATAAAGGCGAAATATTTAAGCTAATCTTTGAACATTTATACAATATTCCTAGGAAGATATTCAATACTTAGAATATATACGTTTCGTTTAGGTATAATAATACCGCTTAACATATTTTTGTTATAATTTCTACCGAATTAACGGTATTTTTGCATTTAAAGTTTTCAGTATTGTGAAATCAAAACTGGCAATAACTGTTTACTATTTAATTTACTATTGTTCCCCATTATGCCTAGCCCCAATTTAAAAGTACGTTGAGATTTTAAATGTTTTGATGCTTTGAGAAGTATTTTCTAATCAAAATTATATGAATATATGCAAAATTTCTCGATTTGGCCAGTTCCTCTGACCCCAAGCAGATACCTAGGGTTAGGGGGAGAGTCAAGAGTACGTCATATACTAACTATGGAACAAATATCTTCATTACTTTGGCAAATATTACGATTTTAGGTAAACCGAAAAAAATGAGCGTAAAAGTAGGCGTAGTCACTTTTTCTTTGCATAAAAACCAAACTCAGGGTAGGACGAATATTTTAAAAAATATTCAAATCCGTCCAGCCGTTCTCAACTGATTCCATTAACAACGTAAAACAATTGATTTTTATATATATAGAAGAGGATATATGAAATTCTCACTAATACGAATAGAAGAAATTATTGTTTTTCTCCCAAAAAATAATTATATTATTAATTTTACAATTTTAATTCGCGTTTTCAACTTTTTGTGTAAATGTTGACATTTTGAAAATATATTTGTATTTTTTTCTATTTTTAAATTTTGCAGGAAAGACACCTGTCAAACATTTTTCTGCCGATACAAACGTTTTGAAAATATTGCCTCTTTTTTTGCAGTTTTCTGTGGAAATTTCAACTCGTGGACAAAATGCGTACCTCGAAAGAGAGAGAAAACAAAATGTACTTTCGTTTGAATGTACATACGCCATTCAACATTAGGTGTGTCTGGTTACTTTTCCAGCAGGAATTGTCCAACAACTTCTTTCTGAGAGAGTAAGGTAGTTTTATTCTCTTTTGCAAGGAAAATGCGAAAAGTAAACAGACGCTATTCCTGCAGAAGCTTGCAACTAATCAGCTGATTTGTCAAAACAAACCAATTTGTCCCCCATAAGGAGAATTAAAACAAAGGAAGCAATACTAATTTTACAAGTTTTTTAAATAAAAATGTTGGAAATAGTCTTTTATTTTCTTATTACATATTAATATTTACGTTTTTTTCACATTTTGTAAAGTTGTTCTCCAAAAACAATTAGTCTTGCTTATTCCAAAACAATATTTTCAAATTAAAATCACAAAAAGAAATAAATAAACAATAGAAAACATCTGATTGAATGTCGATGAATGAGAAGAAGAAGAGTTGCAAGAGATTGCAAGAAGAAATTTGTCCAGCAAGAATTTGCAAACTCTCACTGAAAGAACTGTCAAAATTTCTCTCTCCAACTACTCTCTTTTGCAGAACTTTCGGGTTAACAGACGACTTCCAGTAACAATTTGTAACAATTGTTACAAATTTTAGGGTAACCAGACACACCTATTGTAGTTTACATTCATAATTTTCAGTCTTTCCAAAAATTTTTAGAATTTTAGTAAATTTTTCTAGTTTTAATTTTTAAATGTCATAATTTATTTTTTCGATAAATGCTCTCATTTGTTAGGGATGGGAGATATTTTTTCGTTGTTCTGAGAGTGATTTGATTTGAACAATGTACAAATATGAGTG